GAATTTTAAATGGGTTTTAAGTAGTATAAGCAATATGACTTTAGAAACTATTTTTTGAGATACATTAAAATAGTGCCCTGTAAACTGAAATTATTTTAGCATTAGTCTGGGACTTCAGACAAGTTTAAGTAGTGTAGCTGCTTGCTTCCTTCCTGAAGTGTAGAAGGAGGTTTTTTTCTGTCTCTGATGTCAGTACCTGACTGACATTTGGTACAGGTTGCTGTGAGTATCAACATAGGAAAACTGAAAAATACAATGTCCAAGTAAATTACAAAAAGAAAGCCAGATAAAGGAACACAGCTAATAGGAAGAGTGAGCGTCATACCTGGGCCCCCTTTGCTGTTCCCTACCAGTAGTGGTATGTATCCATCTCTTTCTGAAGAGTGCATTTGTCAGCTTACAAGGCATTTGGGATATTAAACCATTTTGGAAGAATAACTGAGTAAAAATAAGCTGGAAAAAGTTTTCAGTGCTTTGCTTTCGTTGAGATGAGTGATCTGTGTTGCACAAGTTTGTGCAGCTCCCAAACAGTGCCGTAAGCCACCTTTTGAAAATCCCCCAAATGCCCTCATCATTCACATTCAAATTGCTGCCGTAGTTTCTTGACCTAAGTAATGGGTGCCCTTGGAATAAAAACTGTAGGAGCTTGCAACGTTATACATAGTTTTGCTAAAACTTGGAGTAGAAATAAAACCTCTCAGCAGAGCCCCAGGCTTGCATCTGGAGACTTCAGAAAGACAGCCCATAACTTCGTAACTGAAGAGTAAATATGTACCCAGCATGGACCCTGGCTGAAGAGTAAATAGGTACCTAGCATTGACTTTTTTAACTTTGGAGAATTTTTTGGCCACACTGAGAATAATACTGGTGAAGAGCTTGAAAAATGTCTGAATTGGGAGCACTGGATGTGTTGTCTCATGCATGAGCAGAAATCAGTGTTTTACTATGCCTGGTTATTAAGATTTACTGAGCTTATTATTGCATGTTATTTTCTAGGGCAATTCATGTTATTTTGTCTTGGTTTAACCCCAGACATCAACTAAGCACCACATAGCCACTCGCTCACCCTCCCCCGCCAGCAGGATGGGGGAAAGAGAATTGGAAGAGTAAAAGTGAGAAAACTCATGGGTTGAGATAAGAACAGTTTAATAATTGAAATATAATAATAATAGTAATATGAAGAAGAGGAAGAAGAAGAAATTGTCATGAAAAGGAAAATAACGAAGAGAGAGCAATAAAACCCAAGAAAGACAAGTGATGCAATCGAAAACGGTTGCTCACCACCAACCGACTGATGCCCAGCCAGTCCCTGAGCAGCAGCCTGCGCGGCCAGCCTTCCCCCTACTTTTATTGCTGAGCGTGACGTCATACGGTATGGAATATCCCTTTGGTCAGCTGGGGTCCGCTGTCCCGGCTCTGTCCCCTCCCAGCTTCTTGTGCACCCCCAGCCTGCTCACTGGCAGGGCGGTGTGAGGAGCAGAGAAGGCCTTGACTCTGTGTAAGCACTGCTCAGCAGTAACTGAAACATCCCCATCTTATCAACACTGTTTTCTGCACAAATCCAAAACACAGCCCCATGCTAGCTACTGTGAAGAAAATTAACTCTACAGCAGCCAAAATCAGCACACATTTATAAATGTACTTACTGTTTATAATCCTTGACACATAAGTCTTTTTCCGTTTCACTATATCCTTCATCTGTTCAGGTTCTCTCTTGATTAAGGTCTGTTCTGTTAAAAAATGTACAATATTTGAGAATATTTTTTGGGGGTGGGGTGGAAGAAGAGCACCCTCTTGAGTTTGCATTTCTTTAAGCCAAGAAACTGTTAAACCAAAGCCAAAGTCTACTTTCCCTGACCAAAAAGGATCAGAGAGTATGAAATCTGTCTCGTGCTGTATGCCGAGAGCTTTGTTGAGGATCTCCCAGGCTCTAGTAATGAGCTCCCTTCAGGGGCTGACTGTCTGCATAGCCACGCACACTGGACTATCGCCTTAAGTAAGGATAGAGCTAAATGGAACCAGAAGTCATACTGTGGCTGCTCCACTTAGTATAAGCAGATACAGAAAACTTAACTGTTTTGCTGCTTCCAAAGATGACATGTGGGAGAGAATATCGGACATCCACAGCTGAAGGTTGCATGAAAAATAGTGAAGGCACTGAACTGCAATTCTTGGGTTCTACCACTTGTTGAAACAAGCTTGTCAGTTTTGACTTAGAGGACCCATCTGAGACTAAACCATCAGATCTCTTTGTTATTTTGCAGATTTGCCAGAAATATGCTGATGCCTTTTTTTTTCCTAACCAGCTGTCCCAACTGAAAGCAATGAAAGCTATGTTAAATAGTACCTAGATGCAACATAGATGTTTCTTTCTACTTTTTTTGCATTAAGAGTAAAAAACACAAGTTTACAGTTCTCATCTTAAGCAAGAAGAATCTTCCACTCATGATAAAATACATTGCTGCATGCAGAAAACCTCTCGATAGTCATGCTTGGAAATTATTCTGGTTAACAAAATGCAGTACATCAAAATGTTCTGACAGGTTGTGTTGATATCAGCAGGTGTTGTGGTGGAGTGCAAGTAGGGACTTTGTTACGTTTTCTGCATGTTTGGTTGATGCTTTGCTGAAGGAACAGCTCAATGTTTCCACTTTGAGATTTATTGAGAAATTTAATAGAGAAAAAGTGGACTTTTGCCAGTTGCACCACAACGCGGTAACTTTTCAAAACCTTGAAATACTTCACTTGTTGGTTTTTGTTTTTTTTTTTCTGGCAAGCTTTATTTACCAGTAGTGTCCTATGTCATCTCTTTTAATCTGGGTGATTTGGAAACAAGCTAAAATATTTTCATCTGGAAGTCAGCAGTTAGGCAGGGCTTGGGCCAGCGTGTCCCAGAGATGGTGCCTGTTTCTTGGGTGAATAACCAGTCGGTAGGTGTAAGCTTTTCAGTCCGTAGATGAGAGGCATGTTGTCCTCAGTACTGACCTTGATCTTATTTTCTGTAATATTTGACGCTTTTATGTCACCATTTGGAAAAATTCTGACCCACAGTAGATTGAAGTGCAGACAGCTTGTAAGCCAGATGGGTTTTCCTCTTCATTTTTGTTTTCATCAAATGTAAAAAGCAGTCTAATCTTTGTAAGATTGCTCTTAAAATGAGATATTCAGATCCCATAAAACTTGTGTTCTGTTTCTGTCGTACAAATATCAAAAGCTGGATTGCGTGCATCTTTGCAGTACTCTGGTTTCATTGTGTCATTGATTTTGTCTGCAGCTATGAGGATTAGAAACATTTTTTCTCCTTTGGAGTTTTATTTGCATCAGAGGATTTCCATGTGTCCCAGCCTCTTGCACCTTTATGGTCAGCCGGGGGACCCTCATCTGATCTCTTTCCTTTTGCTCCACCACGTTGTCCCTCCACTCAGCACTCAGATAGGCTTAGTCACTTCAATGTTTTAAGGTCTGAGAAAAAGAAAATCTCTAGCATACCTGTGGGGAGTATTTGACAGATGCTGTGGTGCTTCAAAAATGGGACAATATAAGTCCACCTGTCAGTAGGTAATATTCTGCGTTTATTTTTGGTGGCACTTGAGTGAGTTCCAGCGGTGCCTTCAGCTCAAGGCCAGGCAGCCAAAGGTGTTGCAGGTTTTAAAGCCATGACATTTAAGTAGAACACAAATGTGCTCTTTATTTGTAGCCTTTACTCTGCTTTTAAAGTTTAATGACTTGTTTTTATTTTGTGTGTATGTGGCAGAAATCTCAAAATAATATATTAATATAGCTAGTGGGGAAATTAATTTAATGGAGTCATTTCGTTTCATTAGTTAAACTACAGTTATAGATACCTGACCTTTTGAAGAAGAAATTTTAATGTAACTGAGGACTTCCATTATGGTGAACTAAAGATGGGACTTCTTGGTTTTTTGCTTTGTTTTGTTTTTTGGTAATATAAGTCACATTTTAACTCAGGAGGAATACCCAATTTTCATGGTTGTGCAAGTGCTAACTGATGACTGTAGCGGCTGCTGTAAAAGTAAAATTAATTTTTTATTTATATATGTGTGTGTGTGTTTACTGCCATTTACAACTTGAAAATAAGGAAGACATTCCAGTACCTAGTAAGTGTATTTATATCTAACATTCACGCTAATAATATGCTGGTCTAAGGAGTCGTTATTCACCTAGATGCTGCGGAAAGTTGGCTAGTTCTTTTTTAATTTCAAGGGTTTTTCTGAATATTGTTGCTGGAAATTTCAAGGGGAATAAGAACACTTTTTTGTATTGAAACTTTAGCAGACTTTTGAGCCTGAATCTGAACCAGCATTAGTTTCTAGTGGGGATTTAGCAATCAATGTGCCTTTCTCTACTCTCAGCACAAAACCTGAGATTAATTTTGCTGTGAAATATCTTTAGGTCTTAATTAAAACTGAAGTTACTCATCCTGGTAAGAGTGCCCAGACAGACAATGCCTAAAAATCCTACTCTATTAATTTCTCAGGTATTAAGAAGGATATACTGCATGTAGTACTTTTAGCTAAAAGCCTATGCTGTATATATGCAGTATTTTAAGTTAATAAGCAATTGCACTGTAGAAGGAAGAGTTAGAATTGGAGAGTGTTGTGTTAAATACAGGGGAAACAGGTGAAGTATGAGAAAGTTTTTTCATAGCGTTTTTTGTAATGTCTTTAAATGTGTTACCATACAGCGAAACACTGGTATGGTGATATGTGTAATGGAGCTATTCATGAACTAAAAGACTCATGGCTTGTTGCAAGAAGCGATTTCACAAGCCCAAGCAGGGACTGGACCAAAGTAATTCAAGGTCCTGTGTTGAAGTCCTGGAAGGCTGCCGAAGCATGGTTTCTTACGCAGATATTAAGTGCATTTTAAATTAATTATCTTCTCTTGATAATAGTATATCTACTACCTGTTATATTTTATTAGCATTGCCTTATAGATGCTCATGTTTATTTTCTGTATTTCTCTTCCCCCCATCTTAGCGGAATCGGCCGAAATTGGCCATGGGCCTCTGGTGGCAGCAGCATTTTGGCAGAATTTGGGACTTTGCATCTGGAGTTTGTACACTTGAGCCACCTGTCTGGAAACCCTGTCTTTGCAGAAAAGGTTAGACTGTTCAGTCAAAATCATGTTGTAAAAGATAAATCACGTGTTGGGAGACAATGTGTGGAGAAATTTGGATTTTCCTGTTGTAAGCATTTATTACAGGAGGTAGATATTTTCTAGATGTTTCCCTAATGGCCTTGGCATGTTTTTGTATTATAAAGTAAAAAATCTGTTCCAAAACCATTGTGACGCATCTTCTTGTACCAACTTACTTGGCCCCATAAAACATATCATTTCTGCTTATGTTCTAAATTAGTATCACGTTAAACAATCAGACCATAGAGCTTTCTTCAGTACTTCACCTAAATGTGGTGAAAACAAAAATTGACGGTGTCTTGGAAATAAAATGTGATACCTGTAGAAAGTAAAGCTCCGTGGCTTATTTGTGTGATTTCAGCAAGTTTAGTCTTCAAAATGCTGTATAATATGACTACTGTCAGTAAGGTCAGAAAGCCCTTCCATTGCACTGACCTTTAAGAAATGTGCTTTGAACTTTCTTTGGGGGAAGAAAACAAACATAAAAAATATCCATTGACAGAACACTTGTTGTGCTTACTACGTCTTCCAAAATTTGATAACATTGTCTTCTGGATACTTTTTACTTACGTGAGCCATGGAAAGCAACTCTTCTTCTCCTTCTCCCAATTCCCAGCTAAGCAATTTTGCTTTTTGGTGCATAAGTAGTCACTAAGTCCTGTTCTTTATATTACACTTTATCATTTATCTTCTTTTTTTTTTTCCCTAATTAAAACTTCCACTTGTTTTGGTTTTGCATTCTTACTCCAACTGCCCCATGTTAGCTAAAACTGGTGTTATCTAATCTAATAATCTAATTAATAATGAGACTCCAAACGTTTAGCAGTAAGTTTAAAAGCAGTGGTCAAATCTAAAATGAATACTCATTGTACCAAACTTAAAGGCCTGAATGACTTTGCTGCCATACCATTGTCAGCACTGGAATAAATTTTGTGAAACAAGCAATTTGAATGTATTTAGGGATGAATTTAAAGACAGAGTTTCTCTTAAACAAAACTGAACTGGCGGGACGGGTTGTGTGGCAGCACCCAGGAACAGCCAGAAACAAACTTACTCGGTAACTTAATTATCTTTCGACTTTTATGGTAATGTGTAACATCTGTTCTATTAGGAGACAATTAAGTGTGCTGAAAGTGCGTACGTTAAAAATCCTAGCCTATGGTTCTCTTCCAAAGTGGCATCGAGCTGCAAGATGCTGGAAATCTGTTTATATAAGCTGCTCTTAAAACCCTTCAGAGATTGCAATTCCACAGCCCTCCGAGGCAAGCCGTTCCAGGGCTGGTACGCCTGATAAAGAAGAAGAAACCCTGGAATAAGCTTTGCATGGAAGTGTTGATAGAAGAATTCATTAAGTGAGGTCTAGGTCTCGTTGCAGTCTGCATTTGGGCCACGGCTGCTGGCAATGTAGCGTCAAGAGGCAGAAGGTGGTTTGCGTACCGCAAAAGAAATCCCTTCTGTGGTTTGGTGTAAGCTAATTTATCTTCTCTCTCAGCAGCTCGTTCACTTGATCTCTAGGCATTCAGAGTGGTACAGCAAAGCTGTCAGTACCTTTTTGTTACCATTTCTGGTCTGCCGTGCTCAGGATCTTCGTTCTCCCAAGTTGCACCGTTTGCTTTTTCTGTGCGTGCTAAAATTCAGTATAAATTATTTCACGTGCTCTGCAATGGCTTGTGCTGCTGGATGACTCCAGCTGCAGAGCATCTGGACCGTAATTGTCTCCCCGGGCCTCTCATTCGTAGCGAGCTCCTCAGCGGCGCCGGCGGAGCGCTCGGGGCTGCATGGGCTCCTGCCGGGCGAGCTGGTTGTACGGAGCTCGGTTCCAGCAGTCCTCTCCTTCCCAGGCAAAACTGCCTTGCCGTTCCCTTCTGCACCTGAACTAGGTGACAAGCTTAGTACTCAACGCCATTTCTGATTTGGGCATGGGAGGAATATAATGCTGAAGTAACTGAGCTTAGTTAAGGCAACAAGCCTCCGTGAATGTCAGTGTCCTGCGGAGGAGCGAGATACTCTCCTGAACTTCGGAGCTTCAGTTGTGCGTTTTCATTACTGACACTTGACAAAGAAACTCCAGAGGTTTTGAGGAGCTCATTTAAGTCATGGTATCAGCTTAGAGGATCTTTTTTAATAGTAATATGATTGCAGGGAGGTATTCAGGCATATGTGTTGTATAAGACACTTTTTGTTTTGTTTTGGTTTTGTTTTATTTTTAGAGACATTTGCACTTGTCATGGAAAAAGTACTTTTGTACCGACAGTTTTTTATTTTGGGGGGGAAATGGATCAGTACTCAGTGTTTTGTACCCTTCCAATAGGTAATGAATATTCGAAAAGTTCTAAATCGACTGGATAAACCAGAGGGCCTTTACCCCAACTATCTGAATCCCAGCAGCGGCCAATGGGGCCAGCGTAAGTAGATCACTTCTTTGGTACTATGACCTGTCTATTGGTGTGCTGTTTGCAGCTGTTAACTTCTTTCAATCACTGTAACATGTTTTTTGTATATATATAAGGAACTTCTATAAAGTATAAAAACTCACATTATATCTGAGGTTCTATACAATGTAAAAAGTACTACAAATATAAAAATAATAATCCTACTTGCTGTATTTTAATGTTCTTTGATCTTTTAGTATGTCTTCTGCAAGTGGGGAAATGTCTGAATATGTATGATTTTGGAAATAAATTTGTAGACTAAAAAGTCTTCTATTCAACAGTCTAAAGTACTCTCCAAAGTAGCTGTTTAAGGAAACATTATCAGACCATCCAAATAAAATTCCATATTTTTAGAATGATGTGGCTCCACTGAAGATTAAAAAAAAAAAAAAATCTTTCCAGTTAATACCAGCTGTGACTTCTGTTGAAGTTTAATGCCAACAACTGAGGAAGCAAACTAGACAGAACTGTGTCACGGCATTAATCCCCTTGGAACCATTACTGGAGACACCAAAATTAGAAAAAATGCTTGAAATAATTGAACTGCTTAGCTCCTTCCTGATTACTGAGCCTTTTCTTGTTGTACATTGCTTTCTCCAGTCTTCATAACGTGTTAAAGCCTACACAATGTGCAAGAACATGATTCTAGAGACCCTGTTTCTTCTCTTTCCACTTTTCCTACGTAGGTTCAGTCTGCCGCCATCCCATTCCTTTATTTTTTCCTCCCTAAATTGTTGAAAGGAAACAAGCAAGGTATGCTGTCTTGGTCAGAAACGACACGGGCAGACGAGATGGTCCTGTAGGTTATTGATGTTGGAGTTGTTTATACGATGCCAGAGCAGGATAGGACCAGAGGAGTTCTTGAATACAGTAGTTTGTCTAGTATGCAGCTAAGGTGGGAGTGAGGTTCTGGAGTCTTTATGGGACTGGACGCAGTCTGGATAGGTAATTTTGACAAAGACAAAAAACAAGTGTTTTATTAAATAGATATTTGAATGCTTTTGTGTCTCAGTCCGAATTAAAAAGACGTCCAAGAATGTTGTGCTACTCAGTTGTATCGTCCCATCAAGGCAAAGGCCATTTCCCTTTATGAATTAAAAGTATGCCTGTCATTTTAGAAAGCCTTCTAGTCTGCTACGCTGTGAGGTTTCCTTCAGGTCACCGTGCCACAAGGCCTGTGGCTGCTCAGCGTGCATAACCATTGACTCCGTCTGGCATGGTGGTATAAACTCTGACACCCGTTTCCAGGCCTGAGAGATGTGTGCCCGCTTGTTACCCACGTCGGTTTAGCACAGCTTTGTAAAACATGAAAACCTCCCACTGGAAGTGTTGATCCTACAGCAGTAGGCACTGGGTTTGGTTAGAAGGCCACTTCAGCAACTGTGAGCCAGGTCCAGTTACCTCCTTCCTCAGGTTCAGTCAGCCACAGAAAATGAGGTTTTTGGTGAGCTGCATGAGAGCAGGTCTTTCTAGTGCTGACGTCGTTCGTGGTTTTCCCTTATTTATTTTAAATCAGTCAAATACTCGGCCTCATGGCCTTTGCCATTTCCCTGTTTTTAATATAGTTGTGTCTTAATGTACTCCTCGTTCACATTAAATGCCAGTTTTTGTTGATAAACTTACAGTTTATACCAGCTTTGCTTTCCAACAGCATGTAGTATTTACAAAGAAATAGCTTCCTGCACGTGCAAATGATGGACACAGGTGTTGATGCAGGTCAGCCCCTTGCATGCTGAAGCAGCAGAGGCAAATTTGATCTTGTTGTATCTCTCCCAATTCAGTTGCCTCCATCCGCAGACACTGATTTTTTTTTTTTTCCCATAGTAGAAGATCAGAATGTAAGACTTTAGAGATGTTTTATTTGAGATTGCTTTTCTAGGCTGTTTTCAGTTGATTACAACAAGGGGGAAAAAAAAATACTAGACCCCTAATTGATACAAGACAGAATTATATTATCTATCAAACGTCAAGTGGGGAGCAGGGGGAATAGTTTCTGAACATTTCTTCTCTAGCAATGCCGTAACTGTGAAGAACACTGCTGGATCACTGCCATTGTTCCTGTAAATTCATTTAGCCCTTGTTATTTTGACAGTAAACTGACAGTGATTTGCTGCAGCATGCATCAATTGGATTTGTCTACTGCAATAATGTATATAATAACGGGGCTTATTATTGATGAAACTGTGCTTGTGCTATTTAGTTTGCAAATGTCAGAGGTTTCTATGGTAATTTATTTAGGAACCCGTAAAGGTCATTTAAATGCTGCTGTTCAAAGATCAGCTTTCGATCATAGAAAATGTTCTCATTTTTTTTAAGAAGCATCTTTTCCTTTCAGATCATGAACATTTAATTAAATAAATGGTGTATTCTTTCCAGAAATTTAATATATCTCATTCAAAAGAGGAGAGGGAAGAAAGCCATTTATAACCCAGGTTTGATGGTACAATGTATTTGTTAGGCGAAAGGGACACTATACGTTTGGAAAACTAAATTATTTTTTTTGTATGTCACAGGCTAGTGGAGGAAAAAGAGACTGTTAATAAAGTTTGAATAGGAAAAAAGTATATCTTCTACATTTGCGTGGCTTTGCAACCTGTTCAGTATGTGAAAGGAGGCATTCCATGAAGAGAAGATATGAAGGAGTTTAAAAATAAATTCTCTGTGTTCTTTTGAATTCCACCAACAGAAGGCATAACTTTGAAGCTAAGATCAGAGCTAGGTGTTGGGAAGCACGAGCTCTGTACCACTAACCCTTCTGCATCTCACTTTACGAGCCTGAATTACCCCATGTGTCTTCTGCTTTTCTCTTGCCCAGAATTTTATGGTATGACTCACAGACTTGCTGCATGATATATGTACCCACATCTTCATCCTGGATGTCTCGAGTGGAATTAGCAGACCCCTTCTACACCGTAAAATTGATGGTTATAAAAGAGTAGTCCTGGTAAAGCACTTTGAAATCCTTTCACTGAAGACTCAACGAATGCCAAATCCCTTAATGTTACCAGGCAGCACCAACTTAAGAAGACCTCTAGCTTTAGTTTAATGAAGTTTAGAGAAAAACATTTTCTGCTTTTAGGAGATCTATGCTGAAATCATATGATAGCCCATTAAAATTTGGCCAAGAATCTTTTAGGCTGTTGGAGAGCGAGTGAGTGCAACTGTGTGCAAGCTGCTAAGAGCACCAGCAACCTTCGCATCACTGGTGCAACTGAGGTTGGCCGGTCTGACTCCGGTGGTGTCAGTGTTCTCAGGGTCACGTCCTAAACATGTGCAGTTGAATAATCACAGCATCAGTAGTACCAGATCATTTCACACAGCCAGCATAGGGCAGGAAAAAAGCAGTGTGATAGCAATAATCCTCTGTAGATATGGCGAAGTCTTTTTTTTTTCCTTTCTAGAACTACTGCTGAGTTCTGAGAGCAGCCAGATGTTCAAAAATGTAGTATTATTTTTAAACATATGGGTCAGCATTTTGAAATACTGTAAAATAACCTGAAATTCAACTCTGCAGTAAGGAGCTAAAACATTTTGGCCTTTTTTATGCAGTGAGTTAAATGGGCCATTAGTAAATAAAAGAGCAAATAAAAGCAATGTCTGTGCATTAAGAGGGGAAAGCCTTTATCAAATCAAAGAGCAGTTTCTCCTTTCTTTCCTGTTTCTAGAATTAAAAACAATTTAGATACACATTTTTGTATGGGATAGACTACATGAATTAGGCATTAAACATACAAATTGTTGTTTCTTTGCCATGAACTCCTGTGGCATGTTGTGGATGTTAAATAACTATGGTGCTTTACCTTGATCAAAAAGTTAGCAATTAAAGTAGTAATTATCTGTATATACCAGTTAAGTTTTTCCTGAGGTTCTAGGCTTACGTTTACTAAAGATTGTTGTAGGAAGAGATCATTAAATGCCCTGTTTCAAACTATAATTGTATTTTATTGCCCAGGCTGAAGATGAAATTGCTGTTCAATCCCTTTCTTCCCTTCTAGATCACGTCTCCATTGGAGGGCTTGGCGACAGTTTTTATGAATATTTGCTCAAGGCATGGCTGATGTCGGACAAGACAGATGAAGAAGGCAAGAAAATGTATTATGATGCTGTTCAGGTAAATAAGATATTTAAATCTTCCTTTCCATGATAATCTAATCTATAATACTCCTAAAGAGACAGGCTCTGGGGACAATGTGAAGGATTTATGTCTTTGCCACCACTGTGTGTTTTTTTAAAATAATTAGTTTCTCTTTTAAAAGGACTTCATCAAATATAAATGCTGAAGGAATACAGATACTGTGGGAAAGGGGAGAGTCTTGAAGTATAGCTGTTTTTTTTTTTTCCAACTGCAATACAGTCAGTTCTCTGATACAGGAGGAGAAAAGTATAAAATATGCAACAAAAAATGCATCTACAAGTAGCTCTCAGATAGAAAATCAATTTTTTTTTCCTCAGTCTTCCCAAAACATATTCCTTCTGTCCTTTTTCCTTGTCCATTTCCAGGGACCAGGGCATCTACCACCTCTCTGGGCAACCTGTGCCAGGGTTTCACCACCCTCATTGTGAAAAACTTCTTCCTTATATCTAGCCAAAATCTGCCCTCGTTTAGTTTAAAACCATCACCCCTTGTCCTATCGCAACAGGCCCTGCTGAAAAGTCTGTCCCATCTTTCTCACAAGCCCCCTTGAAGTACTGGAAGGCTGCAATAAGGTCTCCCCAGAGCCTCCTCTTCTCCAGGCTGAACAACTCCTACTCTCAGCCCTCCATCATAAGAGAGATGTTCCATCCCTCTGATCATTGTTGTCGCCCTCCTCTGGACCTGCTCCATCAGGTCCGTGTCTTTCCTGTGCTGAGGGCTGCAGGTGGGGTCTCGCCAGAGCAGAGTAGAGGGGCAGAATCACCTCCCTCGACTGTTGGCCACGACCTGCCTTTAATTTTGTAAGTGCAGATTTGGATGCCGTCAGCTTCATTTTCACCACTAACATGGTTTCAGCTTCAGAGCAAAAGGTTTGAGTGCATTTAAGGCTATAATATAAGAACAGTAATATTATAATAGCTCAGTCATTAGACTGGCAGCCAAAAAGAGAGAAGAAAGTGCCTGATAATACTATATCAATTCATCTTACCATGGAAGGCATTTTGAAGCACGTCAAAGCTGCTTCTAGTCTTGTACTTCCACTGGTTTTATAGCGTCAGGTTTTTCTTTTAAATATTCACACAGGGTAAGTGCTAACGCATGGTCGCATGCGATAAGAAGTGTGCTTTTGCTAGTACAGCTATTCTGGAAACCGCTGCAGGTAAGTCGCATGCGATAAGAAATGTGCTTTTGTTAGTACAGCTATTCTGGAAACCGCTGCAGGTAGAATATTTTAAAAGTGATGCAGCAGTCACCATTGTGGGTGGGACCATGAACACATTACCTTCCGTCCTGCTGGAGAACAGCAGAGACACGTTGATCCCGGCTGATAACAGAGTCCAAGAGAGGCCAGTGCTGGGCTGCTCCTACTAAGGCTGAAGGTTCACCTTGCCCCGACTTAAGCAGAGCTGAAGCAAGGTACATCAGGAAGTCTCTCTCGCCTTACGCCACACAAGCGTGCGTGCTGTCCCGTGTCAGCTGCACCGTGGCAGCGTGCCTGGGTCACTGCTAAGCCAGACTGAACTGCCTGGCAGCGTGGCCGGGGTGGAGAGGTACCTGCTGGTGGCTGGTCACTGGGGGAGAGGGCCAGGAGTGCTCCGAGGTGTGTCTGTGCGGGGTGCAGCAGCACGGCTTTGTTTAAACTCACACCTTAGCCATACTGGGTAACAACCTCCTCGGGTACGAAAGTTGTCGTAGGCGTCCCGAGGTCCTGGCGGGGAGCAGGAGTGGTGATGGCCGGCACACTACACGGCTGGCTCTCCTTGCTCGGGATTGAGCTGGGGGAGCTGAATTGCCTGGTCAGCAGCATCACTGAATGCAGCAATATCAGTGACAGCTCTGCTGTATGTAACTAGATTTAAAGTACCTATTAACAGTTTTGGTAATAATAGCTCTTAAGCAGTCCAAGAATCATGTCTGTCCAGAATATCAGTGTTTGGGAGGGCCAAATGATCACTAAATACGTGCTAGATTTCACCGTGCTGTTGGTTGAAAGCTATTTCTACTATTTTCTGAGCAATGGTCTCCGTGTTCTCTGCTTTCTGTACCGAGGTATATCTGTGCCAAAGCTGGAAGTGTACATGCGGCATGTGGAGGTACAGCTTGATGTCGTAATGTAGCTTGTTCAGAAACCAGCAGGGAAGTTTCAGTCTCACAGAAACTGCAGACTGGCTGGGCCCCATTGAGATGCTACGTTCTTCACCAGAGTAACTAGCCTGTTTTGAAATCCATCCTGATATTGTCTTTATTGCTATCGATCCCTTACTTATCTAAATTAAAGCTAATTTAAGTGTCTGCACAAGCTGCAGTCTCTCTTTATGACTAAGCCTACATGGTTTGGGCATTCTGAGTCTGCTTTGTATTTTCTTAGATAAATTTCCCCTGGCGCTTTCAGAATCTTTTTAAGACTACGCCAAAGGGAATGGCGTGATTATTCCTGGCCGTTCGGTCCAGCACATACCCACAAAATTCTGAAAGAGTGATGTGAAGGTCTGATGCCTCATTCAGTATCTTCTGCTATCCAGAAACCACAAATTAAAATATATGGTGAGTTATAGTTCACTGTGAAAAGCTGAAGTTTATTTAGATAAAGCTTTGGGGTTATTTCTTAGGTTGTTCTGTAACAAAGAGTTCTTTCTATTAGAATTTTTGTAGCATCTATAGATTGTTTTATGGCTTAAGTTAAAAGCAATAACTAAGATGTCAAACTGGATTTAAAAACTTTTCCTGCTTGCCATGAATAAGATGTGTATTTGGCTGATGCCATTCAAAGTTTATTTCTAATGGGAAAAGGGACAGCAATAGTCTTGTTCTGAATACCAGGGCATAATATGAATGTATTTATAAGGCTGTCAGAGGGATTCATAAACTCTAGAATTTGCACACAAAGACAAGTGAATGTATTTTTAATGTAAGTTATTTTTCTCTTTTTAAAAGAAATGCATATAATGTCCTGTTTTGGATAATATAGGAAGTAAGAGTAAACTCATTTCAGTGGATAGCATGCAACATTTAGTTACAGAACAAACATGTATTCAGATTTTAGTCATATGCTGAGGATGTAACTGACCATAGAATAATCTGTCAGTCGTTGCAAATATCCAGGACAGGAACTGTCCCACTCTTTTCAGTTAACCCAGTTGATGAGTACTGTGAGAGCTGGTGGAGGAACTTGCCAAGACACTTTCCATCATTTATCAGCAGTCCTGGCTAACCAGGGAGGTCCCAGTTGACTGGAGGTTAGCAAATGTGATGCTCATCTACAAGAAGGGACAGAAGGAGGATATGGGGAACTACAGACCTGTCAGCCTGACCCTGGTGCTGGGGAAGCTTATGGAGCAGATTATCTTGAGTTGCCATCACGTGGCATGTACAGGACAAACGCGTGATCAGGTCCTGTCACAGGGTTTATGAAAGGCAGGTCTTACTTGACCAATCTGATCTCCTTCTATGACAAGGTGATGCACTTAGTGGATGAGAGAGGCTGTGGATGTCATCTATCTGGACTTCAGTAAAGCCTTTGACACCGTCTCCCACAGCATTCTCCTGGAGCAACTGGTGGCTCATGGCTTAGACAGGCGTACTCTTCGCTGGGTAAAGAACTGGCTGGAAGGCCGAGCCCAGAGAGTTGTGGTGAATGGCGTTAAATCTGGCTGGCGGCCGGTCACAAGCGGTGTTCCCCAGGGCTCGGTTTTGGCCATGATCTTGTTCAATATCTTTCTCCATGATCTGGATCCATGGTCTTGTTCAATATCTTTCTCCATGATCTGGA